TGTACTTATACACATGCCTGGGTTCATGACTCTTTTTTTGCATGCAACTAAACATTTAAAAAGTCAAATGCCTAACAAACTCAATACTTAGTCAACTTTTGATATAGCTAATCTTATAAAGAAGGGTGATTGAAACAAAGATGAAAAGGTACCATACAGGTTATTGGTAGCCACAATTAAGTTTGTAACTGAATACCTTAATTTGTTTAATGAAAAATGAATTTGATTGCCTCTCTGAGCAGGAACACTAAACCTGTCAGATTATAAAAAAACATATCCTTTAAAAAAAATCATGCACCTTTCAAACTCTCTCTCAAATGCTGCATCTTAATTTTGTCACCAAGATATGATGCCTGCCTGAAATACTACACTTTACTCATCAGTCCCTAAAGTTCACCCAGTGTTCATGCTTTATCATAATGACTTCTTAATGAGTATTCAGAAGGCAATTCAGAAGTTTGAGAAAATGATTCCTTCTGATTGAAACTTACTGCACACAATTGACTCCAGAGACCATGTAAAGCAGCCTAGTTCTGCTCCAGATAAAAATCAATTCAAGTTTTCCCATTTAATTTAGTGGCAGCAAGGTCTAATGTTTAAGGAGAAGCTGATTCAGCTTCCCTGCAAAGGTAGCATCACTTTTTCTTTTACAGCATATCAAATGATTATTCTCAAAAAGGCAGTATCAAAAAGCACAGAAGCAGGTGATGTTCAAATGAGTAAGTGCTTGATTGTAGTATCTTTACATTGAGTAACAGTTAGGCCCCCTGTACATGTTATCTGTATCATTCAATTACCAGGTTAGCTGCTTAATTACTTTAGAAAGTTACATGTGCAAATTAACAATTGTGCCATAAAAAGATCCAACCAGCTATAAATGTATTGCCTGAAAATGTGTACTAATGTAACAGCTGGTTGCTAACCAGCTTTAAATTTGCACATGTAGCTGGGTTTGCCACCACAGCTGGAAACCCCATTAGCTGACTGGGCGCTCAGCCAGAGGGGTGCACTATGTGCAGCCAGGGCTGGGACTTTCACAGCTGAGGGGTCTCTCAGACCCAGCAGTGCCAGGCAGCTGTGGACTCTGGGTCCCGCCAATGACCCATGGTTGCCAGGACCCAGAATTCAGCAGCTGTGGACTCTGAGTCCCAGCAGCTGAGGAGCACAGCTGGAATCTCCCAGCCATGGGGATGCATGGAGCACTCCTGTAGTGTCCCAGCCATGGGGTCATATGGTACGCCCCCAGGGTGGGAGATAGCTGCCGGAACAGTGTCTGCAGCTGCAGGACTCTGATTCCTAGCAGCTGCAGGCATAGCTGCAATCTCCCAGCTGTGGGGGTGCCTTGGACTCCACCACAGCTGGGAGCCCCAGCAGCTGAGGGGGACTCCCAGCTAAGACAGCTTGCTTCTTGCAAGTGCAGGAAGAGCCCAGGATCAAGCTTCCCCTGCACTGGCAATAAGGCACAATAGGAACTAATGAATGGTCCCACAATCATGCTTCCTGCTATGCACATGTAGCATGGCAGGAACCGAGATTGTGTGAGTCACGCATTAAATCCCATTGTGTCTCTATCTGCATGTGTAGAAGAGTCCCCAGTCACACAAATAATCCTTCACTAAGTTAAATTAATTCTTCCATGTCTAACTGATGATAGATTAACAGAGTGGTAATGTAGTGTGGAAGAATGCTGAGTTCCAAGGGAACTACGAACGTCTCTTCTGTTTCTAAGAAAGAAAAGGAAATTCTACAGTTCTGAATTACATATTAGAGTGAGAGACTTAAGAAAATTAACCATTATCTGTCATCACCTGCATTGAGAAGAAATTTCTAATAGTAGATATCCTTTAATTTAGCAGGAAAATCAATCATTGGAAATTAAAAGCTAGACAAATTCTAATAAAAGTAAGGCAAAATGGTAATGAAGATCATTAACCACTGGAACAACATAAGGCTACAACAAATTCCTCATCACTTGAAACCTTTTCCGCGGGGAAGCAAAAAGGTGCCTATATTTTAAGGCAAGATGCGACACAAAATCATGTACCTGACAGAGCTCATCAACCACCAAATTCTCTCATGATTTCTAACCTAACTTCAAGTCTCATGGGAAAAAATGATCAAATATTATGTGTATAACCTCCTGCTAATGTATATCCATTTGAATCATCTGTATTGAATGTAATTGGCCAGATTCCTTAAACTTTGAAAGATGAGCAAGCATTAGTCTAAAGCAAGGGTGGGGAATTATTTTGCCTGGAGGGCCACTTAATGAATTTTGGGGACCTGTTGAGGGCCACTTCCATCTCCTCTCCGTTCCTCTGCATTTCTTTATCTTTCTCTTCTCTTATCTCTCTGCCTCCTCTTCTCTGTCTCACTTTCTCTTCTGTTCTCTCGGTCTCTCTCCCACTCTTTCACTCCCTCTCCACCCTCCCTTCCCCCCTTTCCATAACCCGGAAGCTGCAGTTCACCAGGAGCCCTGACTCTCAGCTGTGGATCCAGATGCAGGGTTCAAAATACAGGGGGAGTCCAGGGGGGCTGAGCCCCCACATAAGAGATGAGAGCCCTTGGCCCACCCCACACCTTTCTAAGCAGCTTAGGCAGTGGTGGCGGCTCCTTCCAGCTTTCAGCTGCCACCGCCGCAGCCCCACCAAGAGTCATAATGCAATTTGAACCTGCCCAGATGGAAGTCTCCATCTGGGTCCATAGCTGAGCATCAGGGCTCCTGGTGAACTACAGCTTCAGCTGGGTTCTAGAGGGAGAGGAATGGAGGGAAGGAAGGAGGCTGAGAGAGACAAAGAGAAGAGACAGAGAGAGTGACAGAGAAATGCTGCCACCCGCCTGGTGTCGCAGCAGCTTCTTCCTGGGTCCAAGCTCGATGCCATTGGCAGGTTTTGAGACAGGGCTCCAGGTGGGAGCTTCCACTTGGGGTGGTTGGAGGCAGGGCCCTGTATGTGCACGTGCACATGGCTGGAATGCAGCCAGGCAGGGTGGTTAGAGCAGCCCAAGCAGCTGGATGCATTAAAGTCTATGGGGGGCAGGGGTTGGATGGTTACAAATGGGTCCTGGTACAAAAAGGTTTGAGAACAACTGGTCTAAAGAATACCCCAGGTGTGTGTCTCAAAGGCACATCTGGTGCATTCAGGGTCAGGTTGTCACACCACCCTTATCCCTTGGTAAGCTGATGTAGCAATTAAACATTTGTACACTATTTCTGGCCTGAATTTCACCTTACAGTCACTGACGTAAGTTTGATTGAATGCCTTTTGTCAGACACCATAATACAAATGATAATAAATAAAATTGATCAAAACTTAAATAAAAATATTTTCACCTATTTCAAAATCCTGATTAATCATTTTTAGTAGAATTATTGAAACTCACTTTTCACATGCCATTATTTATTATTTCTATTTTATAAGGGGATCAAGGATCATGGCCCTATTGTCCTAGCTGTTATTCCAGCATATAGCTAAAAGAAGCAGCTTCTACTCTCCCCTTTTTCCCTGACCACTGCCCACCTCCCCCATAGTTTCCAAACTTAGAAATACATATTTTCTATTTTTTCTATAGTGGTGCTTGTTACTTAATATGTACTAATTAAAGATACTCCTTGACAGTAACAAGAATCAGTTAAAACCATTTTTAACATCTTAAATGAACAGGACATATATCCCACCTGCCCAAGTTATTTTTTTACTTACGTTTAGTAAAGCTTTGTATTTTCTAATATTTCCCTGTTACTTAAACAAACTGCTATAACCTGATACTTCCCCCAAAACTGTATATTCTAAAAGAGACATTGCTGTACTGTAAACTGACAACATCCATTTAATGAGTTTTATTAAAGTTCATCTTCCAAACTTTAAAAATCCTTCCTTTTAGGCTCAGGTACTGGTTGTTTCTATACTAGCTATAGGATTTCATTCATCTTTTTTTGTTATCTTATAATGACACATGCTACTTTATTCAGTAAACACAACCCAGGAAGACATTGCAGGGAAACAACTTGCTTAGTGTTGACATGGTTCACAAGTAATATTGGCCACAATGTAACAATTCATTTCCCATGAATGGGGTCTTCAATGGGTTTACAGGATAAAAGTGAAAATACCAAGACATATTTTAAGAACTAATATTTCAGCAACTTCCTTATCAATGATAACACAAGTGCACATTAATCTCTTTTGTAAGTCACTTCTTCTAAGGTCAGTTCTAGCAGCTATTCACAAAAAAGTCTATACTCCCACTTCATATGCATAACTTAAAGCTCTTTTGCATTCATGTGAAGTATGCGTGATTCTTCCCACTGCTATCTTAAAGCTGAGGAGTGCTGTGTTTAGAAGAAAGATAAAATTAATTCTGTGTTGCATACACTAAGATTCAAGGTTGAGGTAAGATATTCAAAATGATTAAATCTTTCTTGTTTTAAAGGAAAAGAGTCCACCAACACTATTAACGTTCCTTATATCTCCCTGAGTGGAAAAATAAAGTTGCATGACAAATTGCTGCTGTTCCCTGATCTACAGCAAAATAAACAGTGTGAGGAAACAATAATACTTTTTGCCTTATTAATGAATGAAAGTGAATTAATGTGATATTCTATGTAAGAGAATTGATGATAAACTCAGTGGCTGTTCCACATGCCTACCACCATAATTTAGCATTCAGTAATAAGCACTTAAATTAGAGTTCTGTTGAAAAAAGAACAGTCTGTGCTGTTGCACACCTTTTGTAATTCTTGTATGAAATGTTATTAGAGAGGGCTAAGCCTGAATCTTAAGGGGATGCACTTTGCTCTGCCTTCCATTTCACCAGGCAGAATTTCTGCTGATTGCCCTATTGTGAGAGTAAATAAATATTTTAACTAAACCCTTTAGAATGTATTTGCTCTATTGTTTCAAGTGCTTTGAAATATGTATTTTAATGAGGGCAAATTATAAGTAGAAGACAAAGGCATTTCTTGTGTAACCTGAGGAACAATAGGAAAAAATGTGTATTACCTTTATACTTAATCCAAATCCTCCTACAGTTTGTCTTCTAATTGTTACTGTTCTTTCCTGAAAAAGTTAGATCAAGTTCAGTTAGTTTTAATATTTTCTGCCACAATATCTATATTCACATGTCAATGGGTTGTTTCTAACCCCCTTCCCACACTATCTTTTCTTGTCATAATAAATCTGTGAATTCCAGAGTACAAAATCTGAAGAAACTGATAAATTCTGGAAGCTTGAACATCTGAAAAAGGCAACTTTATCTTAAACTAAAGCTCATGTATTTATTTTTTCTAGCTAAAGATTTCATTCCTTTTGAATGACATTACTGAATTTAATAGCAATGAGTAACTGAACTTTGCCAATATGTGTCACCACAGATTCCAGTATTGACTTCACATTTTTCTTCATCCACTGTACCTTCTTTATATTTAAAGTGCAGAATTGCTCGGTGGCAGCCATCCTAGATATTTATATTTGCAAAAGTAAACAAGTAGGAAATATTTCTGAGGTTCCTGCTACCCACATTTACTCTTGGAACAAATGTAGTATTTCAGTTAATACTGAAAACCATATGATCAGTTATACACATATACCATACATGGAGATGCACACTCACATAGACTCACACACACGCGCATACACACACACACACACACACACACACACACACACAATTTTTGATATTTTTCTGTCTCAAAATAAAATTTAGTGATATGGATCTTACACACATATTTACACATGTGCATGTTATTTATTTTATATAGTTTAAAATTATACCCTTAGTAATCCAAATTTAATTCATCACGATGCTGTATCCAGCTCCAAAGCAAATTATTCTGGTGATGTCCTATGTAAATTAAGGGCGTGCTTAAATCTTATCTTGTGTGTGTGAAAGTGGTAAACAAGCATCCCTGTACTGCTCTATATAAGCTATCTATACCACACCTACTAGTGCTACAGAAGCCGTAGGTCTACAGAAGCGCTATGTGGACCTGTCTATACATGACACTATGTAGCTGTAACGATGCACTACAGAAATGTAGCTCATTGCTACAGCAATGTAGTCTTGTTGAGCAGTGATGCCTACGCTACACCGCCATACTGATGGCCTACCTCATTGTAGCGCATCACTACAGCAACGTAGCATATACAAATAACTGTGCACTGCTACAGCAATGTAGCATCTAAAAATTATGGTGCAGTAATGGCTGTTACTGAACCATCATTTGGTACTTCCAAACGTAATAATGGCATCGTGGGGGGCACATGTAGACATGCCCAGTATCTACTTCATAGGAACACAGGACTGGTAGGGATCTCCTAAGACATTGTGTCCATTCCTCTGTATTTACAGGCATCTGTTAACTCAAGGAATCCCCTTATGTGTCACTTAAATCCCTCTCACACAATTACAAGGCACAACACACGCTATAGGTAAAATCAGAGGAAACAAGGGCACTGCCAATGCCGAGGGCATTGCAACAACAGGGACATAGTCAATACACGCCCAAGAGATGCCAGGAAAAATGGCCATGTCCCGAGCTACAGAAGGCAGTTCCCCCTTACAGTCCATGCCAATTTGTCTAAGGGAAAATTTCCTTCCAGATACCAAATTTGGTGGTTGTTATGACCTGAATGAAAGAGTAGTTTCTTTAGCTAGGAACTTCTGAATTTTTTAAGACCCAGCAGGAACATAAGTAGATTCCAGTAAAAAATTCCCAACATTAGCTGTGACAAATATCTTAGTATCTTGGAGGAAGACAAAAACCAAAAAAATAAAAACACCCAAAAAACAAATAATGCCCCCCTCCCCACCCCCCCAGAAACCTACAGCATTAAAGAGGAAAAAATAGTTTTCTTTTGCCCAAATGGTAATGAATAAAAGTAGATCTTTCATACCTCAAGAGCTACCTTATCATCATAAGCTGGGGATTGCAAACATGCGACTCCAGATCACACTCACTGTG